TGACAAATTTTGGAAAATTCGTGGCCTCGGTAGGAGGAGGGGAGACTAATGCGCAGCCAACGCTCTACCATTGAGCTACGAGGCTCGCCGTGTGCCGTGAATTTAATCCACGGTTCGCGGTGTGCAAAACCGTAGCCACAGGCGAACCACAATCTCTCGAATCTCACCCAAAATCGGAATATAACAGGGCAGGTACATTTTGTGCGGTTTTAGCTATCTCCGATTACAGTTGACAGAGTGCCAGCCCTCAGTTTTTTAATAGAACGCTCAACTGGATGGCCAATGTCTCAGAGGGCGCGGTGCTACCAGCCGTCTTTCTGGGCTGGGTTTTGAGTCTGGCTGAGCCTGTCTGAATTATCTTTTTCAAGAGCGTTCGTTGAGCATATTTTATGGTTAGTGATTTTCCGCTATCACGTACTGACTTATTCCTTGAAATTGCAAACGAAATATCTCAATTTAAGGTTTTTAATTTAAGCATAAGGCATATAAGCCATCGGAAAAATGATCACAAATTAAATGATAAGAAGGAAATGAGACAACGGAGTTGGAAATTCTTGTCTGCTTCTTTCCGTCTCTCTGTAAAGGAGACTCGTGTCCGTAAGTTTCTGCCGATGCATATATCCCTTAAAAGATTAGGGATTAAGAGTTTGTTGAGCCAATATAGAATGACTGCCGAAATCACCTCGGTTTACGCACACATCTAATTTTCCTAAAACGTACCTGATTATAGTCGGACAGTTTGGCATATATATCATTCCACGGAGCCATCGAAAATCAAGTAGTGTATACAGATGGCGTAAACCTTTCTTGGAACCCCAACTGATGGGATGCTCACGCTGTAAACCAGCGACATTCCAAAACTTTCTCACGGTCTTATATTTACCTTTCTCAGGGTTACTGTACTTTTGTGACTTCCCCTAATTCACGTTCCAAGCTTCAAGCATACATTTAACCCTGTAAAATACACGCTGTCAAATTTCTGATCTCGGAGGACATAGGTGTTTTATATCGCTTTCCATGGGTTCCTCTGTGCAATTCCAGCTTAACCTAAAATAAGCGCACCTTGTACGCTTTCATTTTTGCCGTGATAAATATTCTACACAAGCTTTATGGGTAAAGATGCATACTTCGAGGCATTTAGTTTTTATCAAGTTAGAAGAACTAGTCTGGTCAATCCCAGCAGCACACGTGAAGAAAATTAAATCTCAGACCTTTACGAAAATCTCCTCATGATGATTGGTAAAGAAGACAAATGATCTTTACCAATAGACATACTTGGAATGCAAATATTCTCTCTCATTCGTGAACCCCTCATAATAATTTTAGCTACGTGATCTTTGCATAAACAAACGCTTAAAAATTGTACTTTATCGTACTTTAATAGAACTTTAACTGGCCGGTCATGAAGGCCTTGCACAGAATTAATAAAATATTCAAAGTTGTGTTCTCTTTCATTGTGGCAATGTTGCCTTTTTACTTGATGCCCAGTCGCCCCCTTTGAACGGGGTATATTTTCACCTCTAACCAGGCGGATCCTGACAATAGCAGTTCAGACGGTGGGTCGCGGTCCACCCTCTTGGATCGGCTTAACAACGGGGCATTTGCAAACCTACCACGAACCCCAAGGGCTCACAGGGGTATGCAAATATGTCACATTCTCCTGACTGTCCTCTCCGGTGTGTTCCTCTTCGGATTCCTCGTGAGCACATGTGTCTACCTGTACGGCGGAGCGTTACCTGCAGCCACCTTCGAGAACACTTCAGTCTCCACAGAGGCCTCGACAAACCAACTCTCACTAACCAACGCTGTGCAGTACACTATAGACAAATTTATTGCATTTTTAAGGGTTGGAACGAGTACCGGCATAACGCTAACTGAGCAGCTTTCTGTTGAAGTCGGCAGGAAGCTAAATGTAAGCTTATGTCTTTTAAGCATGCTCCCTTTACTCAAATAGCCTCGATTCGTATGGTATTCTTTTATAGGTTTCATGCGTCCTTTATCACACTGCAAATCATAATATCTTGACTGGAGTATGCTTTGAACTAGAAAATATTACTCAAGCGCATTTCGCAGAATGATTCACAGGCATTTTATTCTGAAATTACCTCTTATGAGCCTAATAATTTGTTATGTCATTGGTGTTATTCATAATCGAGTTGAAGCTTTTACTTGAATAATGTACATGTCGTTTGGTAAGCTTTACGGTTTTTAATGCACCCCAAAAAAGTGATAAATCGTTCAGCATCAGTATCAGTTATCCTTCACCAAAATGTGAACTTATAAGAAACAGAATATACAGTAAGCGCCAGAATTCCTGCAACATGCCGACATATGCGAAAGATTGATACGCTTTAGCTTATCGGCATTGACTCAAGTTGTGATACTCATTATCGTATAGTCTATTCTGAAGTTATTTTAGTCATGATAGGATGCGGGCTTTTTAACGAGCTTCGTTCTGACCACTAACAACACGTATGTACTGTAAAAAGTAACTACTTAAATAGTATGCGTTTTTATCATTGATTTTGACTGCCTTTATAAATTAAAATATATTTTATGGAACTGCATGAAAAAAATACTTCTTGTACTCGTTTGATAGCAAATTACTCCTTCTTTAAAGGTTATACTTCAAGAAAGGGTATCTTTCGGTTTTGAAAGTGTATCTAAATTGCCGAATAATTTTGAAACCTACTGACTGATACACTCGAATTCAAGGTTTATAAACTGCGCACTGTGTACATCCTGTTTAATGAAAAGTAGGTTTTCGCCTATAGTTTGAGGAAGGCGTCACATAGTTCTCATATAATGTTGCAATAGATGTGGAGCATGATTTATGCAGTATAGGCAGCATTAATAAGATGTACCATGAACGAAAACCTCACAATCGTAAGAAAGCTCATAATTAGAAATTTTTCTAAAACAGAAGGATACCCTTTCTTTAAGTATAACATTGGAAGAAGGCGTTATTTTCTACCAAACGAGTACAAGAATTTTTTTCGGTTACGTTTTCCATAAAATATATTTGAAGTTATAGACAGTCAAAATCAATTATAAAAATGCATACTACATAAGTTGCTCGTTAAAAAGCCCACATCCTATCAAGATTGAAATAACTTCAGAATAGACTACATGATAATCAGTATCACAACCTGAGCCAATGCCAATTAGCGAAAGAGTGTCAATCTTCCGCATTTGTCGGCAGGTTGCACGAATTCTGGCGCATACTGTAAATGTCCACTTATAGAAACAGTGCACATCAACAGACAAAAATTGTATTTAATACGTGGCTGATAATTACTGCAGTAGAATTTAATGGCATGTAGAAAACGTCTGTCCTCTTCAGGATTCTCGGCACCTGCTGTAAATTATCTACCGCCCCCCCCCCCAAATTATGCAAGTCACGCACATAGTTATTCCAAGACAGGTCGTGAGGCAGTTGAGCAGTCGAGTAAACAGAAAACCCCGCACGGCTAGTACCGATAAACGTTCATAAAATGCTATCCAGTTCCCGGTAACCCGCATTCACCTTTCCGTTATTTGGATTCAATTAAGTTTCACCTAAACTTCTCCATTTTTTGTTCTCGAGATCCATTAGGCGCACCATAGGCCCAACTGTATTCCTGTCCATGGAGAGGATAAGCTAGTTTGGGCAACCCAAATTGTTTACAGTAGGAAATAAATTGGGCAGCGAACGGTCTCGTAAAAAAATCAAATTTGAACACGAATACGGGCTTCCAGTTCATTTCGAAACTTGACCTGTGTTATGTCCATTTAGAAGCTGCACTCAATAAATTAACCAAGAAAATCGAAGAAATGTATTCAAACATTCGGCTTTCTGGTCAAGACCACCAGGGACTACCTCACAGAAATGAGTACTGGAAAATCGGCTAAATAGAGGGGAGCTAGAGTAAAAACCTCTCTTTGCTCGAATTTACCAATCTGGTGTAGATGGCTAGCCGAATGGGCCTGAACATAAACTGGGGCAAAGCCAAGGAACTTGACCACGTTTCATCCTGGAGCACAGCCGGATTGGTGAGAACGTTAATGGTTGGAAATCGCCATCCTGTTGGTTGCCGCTTCAGTCCCCTGGTCAGGATACAGTGACTATGAAAGGTTCCAATGTCCAGGTTGTTTAATCTGTAGTTGTCCTAACGAAATAAAAGTATACAGACCTCTTTACCATCCCCGTCTTCGTTTTGCCACATCAGCTTCCTATATTGAAAAAACAGGTTTTCTCTTTTCCTTTCTTTTCGACGAATAATTGCTTTGTTTGATCATTACACTATATCTGAATTATACCTGGAATTCCAATCTGCTTTCCGGCTTCAGTGCAATTCATTCTATTCCTCAACCATAGGTCAGTTTGGCCGACGGAGTGCATACGGCAATGAATGCCTTACTAGAGAAATACACTATTCGTGCCCTTCTGAACACGGGCGATCAGCTACAGGTGGATGTGAACATACTTGACCAAAATATGCTCTTTATCCGAAAAACCAACCAGTTCACGAGCGGCCAGGTCTCTCAAATTCAGGGCTCCCTGAAGACAATACACGGTTTCATCACTACCGAATTGAACAAACTTTGTCTGAAAGGACTGGGGACGTACTTGGATACGCAGTGCAAACAACTTCAGGTTCATATTTTGCTCACGCTTTCTTGGCAGAGAACTATATTTTTCCCTACATATTCAATTATCTTTTCCACGAGCTATACACTGGGATGCTTAGTAACTCTGCCAACATAGATTCTGCATATAAAGACTTATCGAAATTAAT